TATTTTATTAGTGATGTCGAAAAAGTATGCGGTTGTCAGTTGACAAACCCCCTCTTATTTACAATTCAGTTGCGTGATGTCCACCACTTTCCGAATTAAAAATGCACAGGCCGATAATAGCCGAAAATAAAAATTAATATGCGCCGAATATGCAGTACCTTGCTCACTCTGTTAGAAGACATTGGGGCTACTGGGAATGAATGCCCAAGTAAAATGATGAAGTACAGAATACAATGCTATAGGGAGTGCATTTGCCATGAATGCACCAAGCCAACTCTCCTATACAAACAGTATAGTGTTGCTGCCAAAAATATGATCAGCTAAAGTTGCCTTTTTGCATTATTATGGTTGAACTTTATTGCTGTGGATTTAATCACGAAATTTGTTAGCAAGACGAAGAGGTTTGTGAGCTTACTATTATTCTACCTGCATTTGCTTTTATCTTTTTTTGTGCAGGACTCTGAGAAGCTGGAGGGACCCCACAAACCTCAAGCATTGAGGATGCAACTTTTAATCAAGAACCAGGCAACATGATGTGCATGTATCACGTTCGCTGTGATTGCATCGTTTCAGGGTACATTGACAACATACTAGGAACTAGTCCTTGATTAGCAGCAGTGGCCTGAATTATTGCCTGGCCGCTATTCATCTAATCCTTTGGTGCTTACTCATCGCCTTGTTCTGTCTCTAAAATGGCGTATGGGTGTTCCGACGCTTGTAATATTTGCTCAAGCCGCGCATTGGCATTGGTGCATGTCGGGAAATGCCAGCCACTGCTGCCTAGCTCAACATGTTTTGTATGATGTAGAATGCGCTCTGTGTATCTACAATCGAGTGACCTGCTTGTGTGGGCTAACTGTAACTACACCAACAGTTGCACTAGTATGTGCACTGTGCTGGCACAGTGTATCATACTCAGTCTTGTCACTTCTTCTCCCACGTTTACTGTATTGTTTAATTCACTGTACACCTCTTGCCCAGCTCCTCTAATGCCACACAGAATTTGTTTGTTGTTTTGGGCCACTACACTCAGCTAGTGTAAGGTTGGTCTGCTTCTCTCTTCCTTCTCTTCGACGTGTCCAGCCAATCATTCATGTCAAGCTTTGCTTAACTTAGATCACTGTATATACAGTCACCTGGCTGGAAACGTCCATGGCTGCAAAATCCCATCTTTCTTGAGGGACCCCATTTTATAGAGTGGACGACATTCACTTTCCTGGTAGACTCACCTCAGATGTTGGTATTGTACCCATCCCTGATTTGTACATGCACCACTTTTTTGGCAACTCCGAACAGTGAGAATGTCTGCTGTGGATAATTCTCATGCTTTAAACTCATTCTTAAATTGAATGTAAACAAGTACGGTATAATACCACCAAGATGTAGTTCATTACAAGTCGTCGATTATGATCCTTTGTTGAGACGAAAGCTTCGGGACCTGGGAGTACTTGTGACATACCCATATCATACTCTCAGGTTCTGAAGCTGTGTGCTGTGTGCCAGGGGTTATGGCGATCGAGTGCATGTATGTTCGGATAAGGGCGTGGGAAAACACTCATCTAAAACATACTCATTTCCTCATGCATACTTTCATTTCTCATTCTTTTTGGCACACACTCCAGCTCCTCGAAATTATCATGGGATGCATGTTGATGACAGCCTGAGCAGTTCGGACAATCAATCATTCGGATAATCGGCATTCTATATTACTGCAGTTGTAGTAGCTGTATTTCATGTATAGTACTCGTACTACAGGAGAGTCAGGCGCCGAAGAACGTGTTGCCCAAGAATGTCCAGCCTGAAATGCTAAGAACGCCACCGCCTAAAGTTTAAAAGAATGGTGGTGTTAGTTTTCCGGTAGCTTTCGGGATACATAATTATGATCCTAACATGATTGTTTCTAAGAACATGCTACAAAAGCGCAGCCGGATGGCTGAAAAATAAGAACACCCCAGGCTAACCTCTTGGACACAACGTTCTTGGACGCTCGACTCTACTGTAGTATGGAAGAACGCTCTTCGGCAGGGATGTTACATGTTAGAAATCATGCGTACAAGGTGCTCTTCTTCTATGACAAGCTTTGGCATGCATGCAGCTCTTAATTGATCCCAAAGGTGGAGTGCAATGACATGTTTAATAAGTCCCAAAGGTGGAGTGCAATGGCATGCATTTGGAACCGTGATCACTAAAATCCTGCGCTTAATTCTAAGACTTAGAACGATAAGTGATGTTGCACACCCAAGAACGTCGTGCCGAGGGCCTAGGTCGGGGCGTTCTTGGAAGAACATCATGCTGGATTGTAGATAAACTATATAACCTGCATGTGTGTGATAACAAAACCTGCGGTACAGTGCGGAGAAACTTGTATAACATACTAATATCACCAGTAGGTTTTCTAAACTTCTTGTTCTATACTGGAGAATATTCCAGCGAGTGAATCCAGAGCAAGTGCTATGGAAATGGCCTAGCGAGAGCTCACAATAGCCAGACAGACCCACTAGTCCTTTCTTGAACCGAACAATAATCATCTATGGCATTCAACATGCAGTTTGGGAAGCCATGCAGTCCTGGGACAAATATCCAAATGCACTCTTGTCTCCAGACCAAACAACGATGGTTATCATACTTGACAATTTCCAACTCTACGACCACCATGCCAGCTCAAGCAAAAAGAAGCAAAGGAAGACGGAGATTTCTACTTGTGCAGCCATTCAGGGAGGAGCACGAAGGCTGTTTTAACATGACATGATTCGACTGTGCACGCACTTTCCAAAAGTGTACTTATCACATACCACGTGAACTCTTGGGCTGTTTGTAGGTGTTGGCGGATAATGCTCGGTAATATGGGATATAATGCTCTCAGTAATGCTCCACAAAAGGCCATATAATGCTCCAAATAATGCTGATAATGCTCCGCCGGATGGAATATAAACTGCTGAACCTTGCGGTATCGGGCTAAGAAAATCGCTATAATATTGCATCCATGCTAGGTGTTGGCGGATAATGCTCGGTAATATGGGATATAATGCTCTCAGTAATGCTCCACAAAAGGCCATATAATGCTCCAAATAATGCTGATAATGCTCCGCCGGATGGAATATAAACTGCTGAACCTTGCGGTATCGGGCTAAGAAAATCGCTATAATATTGCATCCATGCTATGCAACATAGAACGCACAATCTGGATCCGCCGCAGAGACTCTGCTGAACTAACAGCCTCAGTAAGACCGGTGCCGGCTAGAGCCTTCCCAAGTCGTTTCTGATACGCCAAGAAGGACTCCTTGACCAGCTTCTGCCTCTGAATTTCCCTCTCCAAACGGGACTTTCCTTGTTTGTGTCTCACGGTAGCAATATGGGACATGATTATACTCTTCTTCCCTGACAATGTTGTATGGCATGCCAGGCACACTAACTACTTGCCACAGTCGCTTTTGAGCGGCTCCGCACCCGTGTTTCGGCACTGATGGCCACTTCAGTGCTCTGTCCATGAGCTACTCGCGTCCTTTTGGAAACAATTTCAGACTTGGTAATAGCTGTTTTCTGAAAAGACCGCTTCCTCGCTATCGCGGCAGGATCTGCAGTTTCCAACTCGACGACGTCACTATCATCAGAGGACTCCGCCAAAAGCTCATCTGGAGAAAGCCCAGCTTCCTCCCAATCCCAAGAACGGCATCGCGAGTCAGCCATCAGCGTTGGCTGCTAGTTAGCTGGTCTTACACAATGGTCAATGTCCGGTGAAAGTCCAGCGTTACTCTTCGACAAAGACATGGACTCTTGCTTCGATGAAAAATGTTTTTTTGTAACATTGTGGACGGTAACCGGGTAAGGTCTGGAATGTGTGCGTGTGCGCACCTCCACCGTTCCATGCTGGCTCACATTTGTTTCGTTGGTTCGGCGTTATTACCTGGATCTTCAAAAACTGACAAAAACGAAAAAGTATTAGTTGCTGGCCGAAGATAGACTTCCGGGACCGGAAGTTTCTGCGAGAGTCTGGACCACAGCTAGCTAGCACCATACTGCATGCAGTATACTGGGCCTGGCACTGCGTGCCACGATCTGTTTCAGTGTTTGGTACCATGCATGATGTGTGCGGTGGTCTATCGCTTGTAGTAATACATCGCGTATACCGTACTGGCAATATATATGGTCGCAGTGAGGCCATGAAGCGTTACATTGTCATTGGCACATGTTTACCGCACGCAGGGCGTTACATGCAAAGTCGCACAGGAGCCGTTACACAGGTTTCTATATTGCCGCAGTCCTTTTTTTGCTATTGCCGCATCACTTTTTTGCTATTGCCGCATCATTTTTTTGCTATTGCCGCATCATTTTTTGCAAACTGCAATGAAAGATCGCCGCACCCCGCCGGACGCGCGTTACGAACGCAACGAAAATTTGTCGCACTAGCCTGGTCGCGCGTTACGTCGCACCCCCCTGCGTTACGCGTTACGCGGCAACATATATTGCCAGTACGGTAGTAATAAATGTTGCCAATCAAAGACCAACGCTATAGCCGATACGCGTATACGAATCTGTACATGAGGATGTGTGTAGATCTACTATGCAGTCATGTAGAACGTCGTATAATGCCATTTTTGGCCTCGTAATGCTTTATAATGCTCGTAATGCTCCGGGTGGTGTATAATGCTCGATATAATGCCGGCATTATCCGCCAACACCTACACGTGACCGCTTGTTCAACCATGTTCGATTGGGAATAAAGGCGGAACCCTGCATCGCAGCCTTTTCGGACCAAAACCAGTCGACTCAGCGTCCAAAAGACTACAACATATGGGTCAATCGCGGTCATCCGTGCTTTTATAAGAACGAAATGGCGCTTTTAGTGACATTTTGCATACAAATCCCCATCTCGTAGGGCGCAGTCACCCAGTTTCGGTGGAAGTGCGCGAGTTCGATTGGGATTCAAGTAGGAAGGGAGCGTCTCAGCTTCCTCGGACCACGACCATTCGACTCAGCACCCCGAAGACTACAACTGGTGAAATTTTAATTTTTGCCTTAACTTCCCCTTTAAGTGCACTATGACTAGGAGGATGTTTGTTGCAGTGGAAAACGAGCAAAAATGAATGTGACGCACCTGGGTGTGAGCAATATCAAACAGCCTCACTCAGATGAGTGAATCGATAGGTAAATCATCCAAGACATTAAGATGTACATTACATACATGTGCCGCTACAGATACTGAATGTGGCGTTAGGGAGAACCAAGCAACATTGCGTCTGTTCCATAAACACGATAAAGGTCTCAAGTTCTCAACACAAAGGGCGAAAGTAAAAAAGGGAGAAATCATCAGTTCTTTGTGAAGGAGGCGAAAAGAAGAAAAAGAGAGATTGTGCTACACAACCTTACCATAGATTTCCTTATAATTATGTAGGAGGTGCAGATGGGCTAATTTACATAGTCATTTGTATACATGTATGCAGCGGGTGCAGATGGCCGAGCAGGCCTGGTTGGTGGTTGACTTGGTCGACCAGGTGCCTGGCGCATGATGTTTGGCCCAGAGTCAGGTATACACGGATTTGCAGAGGTCACTGATTTCCCCATGGGCTCTTCACGATGACTGTCTGTAGCGCCTGGTTGGTCTCTGGTTCTCTCTTCGGAGGCGATGCCCAGATGACGGTCGTGTGAAGGTCGTGGTATTGCTTGAGCGATGGCCACATTTTGCTTCCGCTTGAGATAAAGTGCAATAAAGGCGGCGCACAACAGTGGTGCGAGTATCAGACCGATAACAAGTCCAGCAATACTGCCACCTGATAGGCCTGCGTCTAGTGTACCGGCTTGACGATTGCAGTTAGTGCCTTGCCAGCCAATTTCACAGCGACACACGTTCTTGTGTGTGCATACGCCATTACCAGAGCAGCCGAGTCCATTAGCTTGAGGACACCTCCAAGCACCAGACTGCAGTATGGAGGTGTTCACACATTCCTTGTTCCAGCAGGCTAAACCATTGCCACACGGGCTGCCATTATCCACGTACAACGTGCGAGCCTCACCTTCACCAAGTCGCCGTGTCACGCACCTTGAGTGAGGTTTTTCAATGCCGCACACGAGAGTACCACACCAAGCATTCTCTGGCTTGCAAGGAATAGGTTCCTTTCTGCTATTGAAACCACAGTTGTGACCGCCCAAGCCACGTACATTGTAGCTGGCGAAGCAGCTTGCGGAGAGAACAGCTGTAGAGAAGAACGTTTTCTGGCATTGCGTATCAATGTTCGTGCACGAGCCCTGCTGGCAAGTGCCAGGCTGACCTGCTGCCTCACAGTATAGCCCGGACTGCGTGAAATCATCTGCTGAACACCTTTCTTGTCTTCCATCACAGTAGTCTGGCAGGTCGCATTGGTCTTTGGCCGGCCTGCAGAATGTGCCAGCTGGCAGGATAGTACAGTTACTACAGCATTCACCTAGACTACACTGGGAACCGGGTGTGTAACGGCATGTTGTTGCGTTGCAGCAGGCATCCTTGCAGTACTGGCGCAGGCCGCAATCGCAGTCTTCGCCTGGCTCCACAATGCCATTTCCACACACCACTTTGGAGAGCGCTGGTGCGGGCATGTTCAGAAAACACTTCCTGCTTGGATCTGATCGCTGTTGGTTAAACCAAGCGATTGTGCAGTTTGACCATGCTGAACCGGAACCTGGAGACATAATGCCAGTTCTACAGCCAGGCTTGTTACAAGCGCACGGCGGGAAAACATGTTGAAATCCCAAATTGTGGCCAATTTCATGCGAAAGCAAGTATTGGTTTATAGCACCCTTTCCCACTCCTTCCAAACCAACAAGGCGGTAGCTGTTGCGCACTCCTGGGCAAATATAACCGGGAGAAGGTAGCTGGGCAATTCCAGGAGATGTCAGCTGCTGAGCGCTGAAAAAATGAATCATGTCATAGTGAACAATTGGCTGGAGGTATTGTGCTGAAAATTGATGCACTTTACGGAGATTGTTAGTCCCTGAATCTCCATCCAAATTCAAAGGACCAGGTGACTGAGTAAATATGAAGATAGTTACAAGGATAATACGGACATTAAGCTCCTGGAAAAGACCATCGGCCTGGTTTACAAGCTTCAGCGTTGATGTAAAAAGGTTTTTGGAGCCATCTTGACTAAGACCACCATTTGCTTTAGTATATGAGTAATCAGAAGCAACAGCAAGTTCTACATACACTGTTGGATCTCGTCCTCCTCCTATACTGCTACTCCTCTTCACACGTTTGCGTGCTGCTGAAGCTAAACCAGCCAACCCGTCAACAGGAAAATCCCACCGCTGCTTCTCACCTGCAGTTCCTCTGCTGGTGTTCTTTGTAGCCGATATATTCCAGTGTGTCGCACACCCTCCTTTCAACGGATCGTCTTTGCTCATCTTGTATGTGGATTCTTTGAAGACGGCGTGTGGATACGTACCAGGTTTAGATGTCTGGCTGACCAGCGGTTCAATCATATATCTTTCAGAGTACGCTTTACCTTGCTCATTGCTACTGCTGTTGCTGCTGCTAGCTGTGGCTGGATCCTCATCTCCATGGCCAGCATACTGTTCAAAACCAAATGATCCACTCAAACCATTGCATGTGCTCACTGCGGCGTATGTAGATATCACAGTGGCGCTGCTCTCTTCACTGGCATCAGTACTACTTTGCTGCCGTTTCCTGTGTTTGTGAAGGGTGGACTGAGCATGACTGACGTTCTGCAAGCCACGCACTGTCCCATGGTAATAACAGTTGACTGCTCCACGAGTAATCACAGGACTCTCATCGATTGAATTGAATGTGAAGACTTTAAACGAAGCAGGAATCAGCTCAGTGTTCTGCTTCAGATCTAATGTCACTGTCTTTCCAAATGCCCGTATTTGGAAGCTGCTGGTTGGCGGATGGTGTACATGTACATGCTCACTGCTAGACTGATCATCATGTTGTCCTTGTGCTGTGGCATCTCTCTTGCCACGATTGCTGACATGCTCAACATCACTAAGGTGTTGTGTCATGTCGATATGCACTACTTCATACTCATCCGTCATCTTGCTGATACGTTCTCGAGCCTCGACAGTTATATCAGCATGGCTGCTGCCCCTGCTCTCCGCATCCACGTGAACACAGCTCCGACTAAGCATCAATATGAGCGTGATGATTGCAAGGACACGAGCAAACTTCGAACTAGAGTTTTGCTGACTAGACGCTGCCATTGCCGACTGGCAACCTGTACACTCTATATGTATTCGTAGTTCACTTTCTACTCTTCCCGGTATCCAACCATCTCAGGCAAGTAAAGCCACCTCAGCAACAGGGTGCTAGGGTGCTCCCACACTGGGGGTTTCAAATATTGTACCGCAGTAGTAACAAGATGATCAAAAATAGGAGAGTTGCCAATTTTGTGCACCACCTATAAAGTAACATAGTTGAGAATGGAATTGCCTTTGCAAATTCTACAGTCTACCGCTACTTACAGGTGATGGTAGCTACACTGGGAAACTTGTATGAGCTCCACTGCTGCTGACTGTGATCCTGCGGCAAGTAGCATCCAAATCGGGTTTGGGCATTATTGAGCTGTTCGTGGTTACGGCATGCCTGCTCAGGTTGTCTACCTTTGGAAACAAGGCAGGCGCTTGTGGTAGACCTACCGGACTTGGACGTTAGCGAACAGACAACCCACAGTAAACCATTCAACGTTTCTGACCGCTGGCTTGCATCACTATCACATCGCTGTCAGTGGTTACAAGATCCGAGCTTATCTAAACAGTAGGAAGTCCCTGTTCTACTTCCTCTCCTGCCCGGCAGTCCCGTATTCGTGACCACGGTGTAACTTACTGCAAGCTTAGAGCACGCACAGCGCACATCAGTGTTCTAAAGTTTACTTATTCCTTCCGTAGCTACTTTGGACCCGCAAAGCAGGACGTTCAAGTCACTGCTGGCTGTTTTCAGTGCCCGTGAGTGGATGGCTGCTCAGTCCTGTGTTTAGACATCCACTCAGTGGGTATCTGTACAGTCATGTGGTGTTGGAACTCCGAGCTGCACGCTACTGCGTTCATCAGACAAGATAATACAAACGTAAGACTAGATGACAACTGGCATCTGCTGATGGCCGAGGACATCTACAGAGAGTCGGATGCGAATTTTAAATGTTCACATCCGGTCAATGAGCGTTCGCCCACAGACCAGCATTAAAGTACTGGTCTGTGGGCGAAGGCTCCTTGGCATCATCCGACATCGTGTATTGGTCTCTGATTAATGATGGCCTCAGCATGACACTCGTCAATCCGCCTACTCCCAGTGTGCATACTGCTCAGTAGTACGTTGTTGTGCAAGGAGCACTGCATTGCAGCGACAGTAGGGAACCTATTAAAGTTGTTAATTTGTTTTCTTTTGTTATGAAATTGCACATGCCTGCATGAACATGCCTACATGCCTGCATAGAATGGAAGAGAACAACAACAACAACAACAACAACAACAACAACAACAGCAGCAGCAGCAGCAACAGCAACAGCAACAACAACAGCAACAACAACAACAACAACAACAACAACAACAACAACAACAACAACAACAACAACAACAACAACAACAACAACATGTAACTGAACATGAAAACTACTAAGGTGTTGTCACATGCACAGACTTCATGGATGGTGTGTGGGAGTACTGGGATATGCTCAGCAGCAGCAGCAACAGCAACAGCAACAGCAACAACAACAACAACAACCACAACAACAACAACAACAACAACAACAGCAACAGCAACAACTGACTTTCAACTGACTAGCATACCGTGCACGACAAAGAACAGAAAAACTAAAATCATCATACACCTGCAGACACTTAGGGTGAGACAAAGAAGGCGGAAGGGAACGGAATTCAACAAAGAAAGTAACACGATCAACATTCAAAGACCTAGACGATCAACGGCTAATTATTCAATGAATTATTACAGTATTGGAGGTCAAGCACCGGCGAGGACACTGGGAACACAAGATTTAACAACAACAGGAACAACAACAACAACAACAACAACAACAACAACAACAACAACAACAACAACAATGGTAACAATTTACCATCAAGATCAAAGAAGGAGTCAACGAACAGAGGTTAAACAACATGAAGCGAGCCTGGGACCGATCGGTGTTGATGAGGAGAATGACACGGAGGACGACACTGAGGACGAGTTGGAAGATGAGACGGTGGACGAGGTTGCGGTTGTTGGAGACGAGGAATCAGATGGTGATTGTGATCGTAAGAAGTCTGCCGTTTTTCTTCACTTGTTGTCTCACCCTAAGTGTCTGCAGGTGTAAGATGATTTTAGTTTTTCTGTACTTTGTCGTGCACGGTATGCTAGTCAGTTGAAAGTACTTGAGGCTGTTTGTATTCGTTTGCATAAGCCTGATCTTTGTAAGCAGAAGAAACATGTAGTTGCGTTAAAATTGTTTTCGTAGGTGCACAGCATGATTGTTTGTCTCACTACACAGTTTTAGCGTTATAATTAGTTTCTCACCCGCCGTTGCACTTAGCTCTCACTTCACTTCTATTGTCTCGCATTCCCTCATTCTATTTTGGCACTGTATTTTGTTCTCGTAACACATCATTGAATGTTTATTTTAATCATTGTTCAGCATGGTTACTCTTCAGTCACGACTTTCCACTGATGAATGTGACAAGAAAATTAATTCTGGTAAACTTTCATGACTTCGTTGTAGTGTGGCGATGACTGCAGAATTTGTTATCCTTATTGCTATTCTAAAATTGTTGTCTCCACGTCGATTAAAAATTAACACAATGTATTAAAATGCAATACAACATACACTGGAGAAGAAATCAGGAAAATAAAATATGAGCTCAAAAATGGAACGAAAAATAGCAAATAGAATCAAAACTCACGATGGAATCAAACTCACGATGGAATCAAACTCATGATGGAAACTACAAAACCCAATGAGTTGGAAAACCAACCACAGAATTAGATATTGGGAATAGAGTCAGACACAACAACGACCGAAATCAGTACACCAAAAACTGTTCTTTATGTTCCTCTCTACAGTCCATTCATTGGAAACTGGCACCCTAACTTTTTGGTATCTCTCTCACATAGTTGTAGATATCGTGAAAACAACAGTACATCCTGCATTGTGTGACCCGTGCAATTACTCCTTGCCACATTTGAGGCCAGAAAAGTCCAAGTCTCCACGTCGATTATTTAAATAATAATAAATTAATAATAATAATTTGGAAAGGATTGGGAGAACTTCAAATTCAAAGGATCAGTCGGGGAAGTGAACTGCCTGAAAAGAGAAAAAAACGCCAGACCCACCAGGACTCGAACCTGGGACCCTGCTTGTCATGAGCAAAGCTCTAACCACTGAGCTATGGGACCAGGCTGAACCTAGAAGGCGCTGACAAGGTTTTCACTCCAAAGGCAGCTCGCAACACGTGCCACACATACTGATGGCACTTGGGTCTTTTTCCCTCCCCCAGGGGACCAACCACGGTCAGTTTCTGGAAACTACCAGAGGTGAAAGAAAGTGATTAAATTTGGAAAGGATTGGGAGAACTTCAAATTCATTCCTTTGGAGTGAAAAACTTGTCAGCGCCTTCTAGGTTCAGCCTGGTCCCATAGCTCAGTGGTTAGAGCATTGCTCATGACAAGCAGGGTCCCAGGTTCGAGTCCTGGTGGGTCTGGCGTTTTTTTCTCTTTTCAGGCAGTTCACTTCCCCGACTGATCCTTTGAATTTGAAGTTCTCCCAATCCTTTCCAAATAATAATAATAAAGGGTTTGCTCCCCACACCGGAGCTCGCGCTATTCCGCCGACGTTACTTGACTGACTCACGACTGCCATCCAGGGCACACGAGAAGTCCATCGAACCTTCGACTCGGCAAACCTGCAAGAAAGCACCACTCCCTGCTCAATACACAGTGTTTCGGGGAATTCACCCCTCATCAGTTGAGCTTGAGTAGGCTGAGGAAGATTGTGCCTGAAGAGCACCACTTATATACTGCTCTCCAGCACAAACATCACCAGGGATACAAACTTACAGAGACGCTCCGTTTCCAGCGCGACAAACACCTCGTGAACACCAGATAGCAGCGTGAGTCAGTGTCGCTCCTGGACGGTGAGACAGACGTCGAGGACCCTCGGTCATTCGCAACGCTGCCACCTCCAAACCAACTAGTCGCAAGCCCGCGCTGGGCACAACAGTACGAAGTAGTGGTTGCGACTTCGGCGATGATTTGTAAGAAAGGGTTTGCTCCCCACACCGGAGCTCGCGCTATTCCGCCGACGTTACTTGACACTTGACTGACTCACGACTGCCATCCAGAGCACACGAGAAGTCCATCGAACCTTCGACTCGGCAAACCTGCAAGAAAGCACCACTCCCTGCTCAATACACAGTGTTTCGGGGAATTCACCCCTCATCAGTTGAGCTTGAGTAGGCTGAGGAAGATTGTGCCTGAAGAGCACCACTTATAGAGTGCTCTCCAGGCACAAACATCACCAGGGATACAAACTTACAGAGACGCTCCGTTTCCAGCGCGACAAACACCTCGTGAACACCAGATAGCAGCGTGAGCCAGTGTCGCTCCTGGACGGTGAGACAGACGTCGAGGTCCCTCGGTCATTCGCAACGCTGTCACCTCCAAACCAACTAGTCGCAAGCCCGCGCTGGGCACAACAGTACGAAGTAGTGGTTGCTACTTTGGCCATGATTTGTAAGAAAGGGTGTATTGAGCAGGGAGTGGTGCTTTCTTGCAGGTTTGCCGAGTCGAAGGTTCAATGGACTTCTCGTGTGCTCTGGATGGCAGTCGTGAGTCAGTCAAGTGTCAAGTAACGTCGGCGGAATAGCGCGAGCTCCGGTGTAGGGAGCAAACCCTTTCTTACAAATCATCGCCGAAGTCGCAACCACTACTTCGTAATAATAATAATAATAATAATAATAATAATGAAGGTACGTGTTAGGTCGTAAGTATCCACGCAAACACACATCCAGTCAAAATAAGGCACTTGTCAAAGTATCCGAACGTTTTCGGTCCCTTCTCATCAAGGATTATACAGGGAATGGCTCAAGTTGGAAAGACTAAAACTTATATAGCGTAAAGATATGAGATAACAACACTCGTGACAAGGTGAAAAAAAAAGTATCAAGTTCAGCACGACACAAAACTCGAAGGACATAATAATAGCGACAAGAACATAGTGAGCAAATTAAGTTACATTGTTAACACCTCGACGAGGAGTAACACCAAACAATTGTAGCGACAACACATTTTCTTTTTGTACGCAAAGTTCAGGATCTAACTTACGGATATACAAAGCTTCTAACACAGCCAGATGCAACGCACATCTACCACGCACACGTACCTTCGTTATTAAAGTATTATCCGCCTCCGACTTCTTGTAAAATAATAATAATAATAATAATTTGAAACTCGGATGTTGAGCCATAAATAAATGTAAAAGAGAAAAAGACATAGTTATTGCACTTTCTGACTGTATATAGTATCATGTTACAGTGATGGAGAGTTACTCTTAACTCGTATCCATATGTCTTTTTCTCTTTTATAAATAATAATAATGTTAGGAAATTTGAGGCCACATGCCACGTAATGCTCTTTTCTCTCCGAAACTCAACACTCGCGAATAGCAAGGTCCCTGGTTCGAGTCCCGGTGGTGTGACTGATAATAATAGTGACAAGAACATAGTGAGCAAATTAAGTTACATTGTTAACACCTCGACGAGGAGTAACACCAAACAATTGTAGCGACAACACATTTTCTTTCTGTACGCAAAGTTCAGGATCTAACTTACGGATATACAAAGCTTCTAACACAGCCAGATGCAACGCACATCTACCACGTGACAATATTGAGAACACATTATCACTGTACAACTCACGACAATTGGTACGGGCTGACAGATGTTGCTTGATTGACGAAGTGCGATTCTTAGCTCCGTTGGGTGTTGTCTCCTCCAATGTCCCGTCATCTCGCCTCTTCGGACATTATTATCTCCCGCCCTGACAAGGGTCGGGCAACGGTTGTTATGTCAAGGGAGGATTACCAAACCAAGATGATGGTCATTTTGGAGGACAAGACGAAATTCTGCAGACTCGGACCGTGCGATGTATATGATCATACAGAAAACATCGACACTAAACTTAGCAAATACCTATTGTCTCTTTCAAATTTCTTATTATGAGTACGACCATCTGGCACCGACGGGATCAACAAGACCACGAATGTATGGGCTCCCAAAAATTCACAAGAAGAACATTCCCTTACGACCAATACTGAGCATGTCAGGATCGTCGCAATTTAAAACATCCAAGTGGCTATGTGCCATGCTACAGCCGGTACTCAACCTCTACAACAGCCACTGCGTCAAAGATACTTTCGAGTTTGTGGAAAAGCTAAGGGACGCAAACTTTGAATCGAGCGGATTCATGTGTTCGTATGACGTGGTCAGCTTATTTACTAACGTGCCACTACGGGAGACCATTGACATCTGCGCAACAACACTGTACCACAATAAGTCCATTACTCCGCCGTCCATGAACGAAACGGAGTTTGTGAAACTCATGTTAATGGTTACATCTGGCGTTGAGTTTTCATTTGGCAACGTTATGTATAAACAAATAGATGGCGTTGCCATGAGCTCGCCGCTTGGTCCTGTATTGGCTAATATATTTGTAGGGTTCTGTGAAGCGTCCATTAGTCCATCATTGTGGCCCTCTATGTACTGTCGTTTTGTAGACGATGTGTACTGTCACGATGAGGATGAGGATGTCTGTGGGACTTTTCTACTAACTCTGAATAGCCTCCATCCGGCGTTGAGATTCACGCCGGAAGCGGAACAAAACGGCAGATTATCCTTCTTGGATGTGCAAATATCACGCAACATTAACACACTTAGGAGTCACTGGTAGTGGTACGTTGGTGCAGAAAGTAATTTACTTCTTTTGAATACTACCATGTCCCGGATATCATTGTCGCATGGAGCTGGTGATAGCGAAGACAAAGTAACATTACTAATAATAATTATACTAGTAACCGGAGTTCCACCACCATGCCATACCAATCGAAGCCACCTGTCTACCATCTGTCTGAATTGTAGTGTGTTTGTGTATGATGCGTCCCCAATCCAGACACGTACATGTACATGATGCAATGCACGGATTCATGGCTTCTGCCAGTTCGGGCTGGGTACTACTACTAGTAGTAGTCTTTCACATCTGGGAATTCCCACATCGTAGTTTTTTCAGCAGCACTGGAGCTCTCCCATTCACTAATATTAGATCTGTGTAGACCGCCAGTGACAGTCCCGGACTCCCGGCCAGGTAGCACTACGGTCTACAGAGCACTTGAACTGCACGACTACTAGTACTGACAGTCTGTACAGGGACTATAGCAGTATAGGCCGCGCATGCACACACTATACAGTCTGCTCCCGTCGAAGCCTTCATTTCGTATGTACCATGGCGCCGCTGGCTCCACACGCAGTGCACGAAGGAATCGGCTTGGACGGAATTTCGCAAGACCGGCAGCCAAGCCCCCGACCCACCTACAAGAGATGCAGGTCCGCCGACTCATTTGTCTTTGCGCCATCACTGATTCATGGCTTGTCCGTGCTCGGAGCCCCGGCTCCACCACTGTCACCAGCTGCATGAAGATCACTGCCAGGCGATATAGCACGGAATGGCAGAGCAGCCATGCAGTGCGCACTCTGTGATAATCTCACGACATGGCAGTGTCACTGAGTCCAGGACATTCATTGTGTAGTAAGGGGTACAGTACTCTTGATTGCTGTAGTACTAGTAGTAGTACACGTGTGGTCACTGCGAGCAGACTAGATAAACCCACCATTGCCTGGCATAGGACCTGACTTGGTCGTCAGACACTGCGCAGATGTGCAATTTTTTTCAGATTATTCATGTAATCCTGTAGGTTTTCCTGGAACGATTTCAGTCCGAGGCAGGCCGAGACTCGAGATAGGCACAATGGAGATTCTCACCTTACTAGTCTGACTTGGTCACTTGCAGTCCCGAGCAGAAAAGAGAGAGAGAGAGAGAGAGAGAGAGAGAGAGAGAGTCCAGGGCCAATTGGAATTGGGAGAGTATCCACCACTTGTCCTGGACAGTCAATGAGATGTTCCACTGGGTGGTTGACGTGTGTGAAAGGGTTCATTGATTGCAGACCATCGCGCTTCTCGTGGACTGCACTAGAGCTTCAGTATCAGTGAAGTTTGTGTTTGTACAGTATAGACCATTCGGTTGTCTGCACAATGACTGGATCTACGGAGCATAACGATGCGGTGGTCATTGTGACTGTTCAGCTTGTTATCAGTCTTCTCGTTATGCCCATAACACCGATGCTGTGGATCTGCGGAGCGGGACACATGACCAGTACCGTGCAACGACTCTCCAGAACCTCGCCCGTTGTCTGGAGCATCTTCTTCAGCATCATGATGCCTGGACCAATGACCTTCTACTCCACTGTGCTGCGTCACGCACTCGTCCCTGCCGACTGGTACAACCTAGCGGTCAGGACACTGATAGGGGCACTTCTGGTCCTGATGGTGGCACCCGGGTCATACTTCCTGGCCCGATTCTTCCGGTGGGGCACCAGACCCGAGCCTCCTCACCCCACATTGTCCCGATCAGCTCCAGCAGAGGAAAGTGCTGCTTTAGCGGAGAACAAGAAGACAGGTGCCAATTCGGACAAAGAGTCGGCATTGAAGCGACATAGCTACCTGACCACAAAGTACAGATTCATTCATTTCCTTTACTCCGGTCTCCAGTGGGCGTTATATGTGTTGGATTTCTTCTTCCCGGTCATCGAATCCATCGGCGTGGAGGTGGCGTGGCGCGTGTACCTGCTATCGCGCCTGCTGTTCGCGTTAGGGCCCGAGGCGGCACTGATATCAATGGCCATACTCTCCACGCTCTCCGACCTGCCGTCCGTGCTGTACGTAGTGTGTTCCGACACGCCTATCATCATACAGTACGCCAGTAGGGACGATCCTGAGGATAGGCGACTGTTCTATCGCGATGCGCCGCCAGCCTCAACCACCATCCTGTACACACTGCACACGGTTCTGTTTAACTGTGTGCTGGGGATGCTTGTACTCATGTCGAACTTCTGCGTCTGGCCATCCGTACTCCTGTCCCTGTACTGGAGTCACGTGTCGAAGATCGTCTCCGGACGAATGTTGGTCTCAACGTATCTGCCGGTGGGAATGGAAGCCCTTGCTATGTCTCGCCTCAGCCACGAGCAGGACAAGTTCATCATCAAGTCCTGGATTCGCGGACCGGCCTGGAAGGTCAGCTGTGAAGGCCTGGCTGGCATCCTGGTGGCGTTGCCCGTTGCCGTGGCGACGTATCACTATGCCGGTGGCGTGTCGGAGTGGCGCGAGGCAGTGAAAGGTACGTGTTAGCGGGGTAATGTGATGTACAATGAATATGATTGGGGTACAGATCCATGTGTTTCGCCCAACGGGTGATGTAAGTAGAGAGAGAGAGAGAGTTGGAAGCTCAGGACGCTCGCAATGCTTGTTCAAGGTGTAGGTCATCATCATGCGAATTACTGACAAGTAAACTGGTGAAAAACATCTCGAATTATTATCCCGATGCACGGGATAAACCTTAGGATATCTTTAATGCTATTAGGGATGTACTCGTAGAGAACCTGAGCTTCTGCGCTGCTGATGCGAGACCTAAAACTCTAGTACTTGAAGTAAGCTTTTGGTAATACACCTCTACTTCTCGCCAGCCAGTGTGGTAGTCAGCGTTTCCTTTCTCTCTCTGTTCATTTGAAAACACAATGGTTTTACAATCCATATGCAATGCTACAAGTACCAGAGGGACTCCCCCCCCCCACTGACAAACAGAGGGGTGTGCAATACAAATACAATGCCATGATTTGCCATGTGAAAGAAAATGATTATGTTAATACAGCTATACACACTCAGTGACTGGTACATGTACGCAGAGAGAACTATTAACGGTGACACTACCAGTATAATATTCAATATTGCATTACTAAAATGCATGTACATGTACATTTACATGAGTATTCGGCCAGAGCTGTCCTTCACTTTCTCTGTTTCTCTCTCTCTCTCTCTCTCTCTCTCTCTCTCTCTCTCTCTCTCTCTCTCTCTCTCTCTCTCTCTCTCTTTCTCTCTCTTTCTCTCTCTTTCTCTCTCTCTCTCTCTCTCTCTCTCTCTCTCTCTCTCTCTCTCTCTCTCTCTCTCTCTCTCTCTCTCTCTCTCTCTCTCTCTCTCTCTCTCTCTCTCTCTCTCTCTCTCTCTCTCTCTCTCTCTCTCTCTCTCTCTCTCTCTCTCTCTCTCTCTCTCTCTCTCTCTCTCTCAATGGACATTTATATCTGTTATCACTCCAGGTGTTCTTCCGCCGCATACACTCCTGTAGTAGCTTCAGCTACCGCTGTACAGGAATACTGATAGCCTCAGTTCCCATTGGACAGGCACGTTTCGTGGCATTCAGCCACATGAATTTCCATGTTCTCAACCCAGGAAGAAGCAACCCAAGGGAACGAGGCCCAGAAGTTCCCGACATACATGTACATGTATGGCGGGCGGCGCAGACCTGGAGTGATGTGCATGTACCTGGTACCCCTAACTATGCCATGATTGGCTATCTCTAGCTCTGTGGCTGTTGATAACATACTGAGCCACGGGACTGGGTACAATCCTGCCCTTCATCGCCATTAACACGTACACAGAGACACTGCAACAGGTCTATGACCAAGTGACTTCATTTGCCGACAGAGAAGTTTACATTGGTCCGGAAAAAAAACTAGGAGATCAGTTTGAGATTGATGCTGTTGATGCCAAACCTCCTCGAACAGACTGATGAAATTAGGAATTTGGACGGAGAACTGTGTACTACAGTAGATATGACAGTGTATTGTTTAAGCCCTGATTGATTTCTGCTACTGGCAATCATTATAATGTTCAGTGTACTTATACTTCGCTACATTGCTAAACACACTACCCTGGGAAAAGCCTAGCACGTTCCCTATCTCCACCACCACCCAACATGCTTTGTAAGCATAATATACCTGGCACCCACAGATGAAGTACTCAATTAATTGAGTTGTCCAAGACACACGCTATCATGTGACCTGTTACTACTCTTGCCTCGAATGTCAGGGAGCGGTATCAGAATGCCATCGGAAAGGTTGCGAATCATACCAATCATAATTATTATCACTATCAGTATCAAATGCATGTGCATCTGTAGCTGACAGTTGTCAGCCAGCTTATACTTGAGAAGCATAATGCCCATTGCTATTAATGGCATTGCAAAGAGAGAGTGCACACGTACATGTATTATGTACATCAGACACTCAATCTCCGGGCAGGTAGCGGTCGCATTAATGGTTAAATCCCACCAAAGGTACATGTACATGTACGAGGGTGAAATTCATCGCACCACTACTGCACTAGTATCCTTAGATAGAAACACTACTAAGCAGCTACATGTTTGCCATAAATCTATACATGTACCCCGTTGCATTGCTCATGCGGATGGCTGTTTCAAGTTGGCCAGATCTCTACGTCGATCCACGGTGAGTTTCATTCGCACAGCGTTAGCCTGGAATAGCGATATAATTACACCGGTATTAATTAACCTGCTCTTTTCACTTCAAATTTCTAGTGGAAAAGTCAGCCATATCCTGTGTTTCTGTATTGCATACTGTACTGTGAAGGGGTGGCGTTCCTGGCAGTCAACACAGGACACACTAGTCACTGTGCATGCATGGTCGTTGGCCGTACATGTCAGTTATACAGTCATCATGAAGATGCAGGTCACGCGCACACAGGCAAACTACAATGTGTAAGAATAACGCTCCACATTCAGGGCCCATTGTATTTACGCGTGGCGTGGACACAGTTCTGTGGCTAGCACTCTCATCTCCACGCGGAACTGGCGGTGTTGTCAACGTGTAACTAATGAGAGGTGACAAGCACCACTGGAAGACCTTCTAAAGTCATGTACACCACTGCTGGTACATGTAATACTAAAGTGGTTAGTAGTGTTACCAGCCATAACTATAGTACACGAACAATGCATATGTTTTACGCTCTGGTGGTAACGGAGAATCACCGAACGTCTAAAGTACATTGTGAGCATTGCACTGGGACTAACTAGTCTGCAGAGTTTAGAACAAGCTGTCTGACTGGAGGAACACACCGCGAGGAAAGCGTCTAAGAGTAACACTACACAGGAAATCGGCAATTTCCAGTGACAGGCAAACGTTCCTTACTACTGTACGAGTGCCGAATGACAAGTAGGTATTACAGTAGTTCCATAGGAACACAGATGTCACTGCAATAGCAATGCACATGGACTTATATTATTATGACTCGAATATGAGCGACAAAAATGTCACAAATGGAATGGTCAGCCACACGGGAATAGGAACGGGTTACTACTGAAGAAATCACGACTGGCCGAAATTAAATTTAAAAAAATCACAGCGTCATTTTTATGTCACTTCTCTGCGGTTGACGTCACAGTATAAGAATTAGCAGAGAAGTAGTGTTCTCTGTCCACCCGGGAACGGGTACGAGGGAGCACGGTGTGGGATAAAAGGAGGTGACGAGTGCAGGGTCGGCCTCTTTGTGCTGTGGTGGCCCCCACTGGCAGTGTTCACGTGTTCAATAGTGGTGTACACGTATGAGTGAGTTTGCGGATGTGTGCGCTACGAGTGAGTGCAGGGTGGACAGAGAACAAGTGTTTCATAGGATCGGATTGACGACGAGAATGGAACACAGAAGTGACGACGGTCATCGCATCAGTCAACATAGAGTGCATGGCATGCATGCTCGCGAAGGGGTACACTGTCCCGGCCTAGCTAGCTGTCGTCCATCTTGCCAGGGACATGCTACTTCATGTACTAGTAGCAGAATACTGCCGTGCTGTACCCTTACATGGAGCTGCTGTACCCTTACATGGAGCTGCTGTACCCTTACATGGAGCTGCTGTACCCTTACATGGAGCTGCTGTACCCTTACATGGAGTCCCCAGACGGTCGCTATCGCTATCGTCATACATGTATATGCTGCAACGTTGTGTTCGTGGACACATTGGTACACTGTACAAAGGATGGCATCAACGAGTACATGCATACCTCACGTATTCAGTGTAACAGGAAACACGTATAGTACCTTCAAAGTCACTTTTGCCACACATACATGTACTGTAGCAACAACAGCACGACAGGTTGCTTACCATGTACAAACACGTGATCTGAGGTTTATCCTGTTGTTGGATGTCAAGCATCTTCTGGAGAGCAACCTTGAAAATCACCAGAAAACAAGGAAAGCAAGCACAAATTGACAGTCTTGTATTGACCCGCAGCTAAGCCACCGGCGACCTGGGGAGACTTTGTGTGGGGAAATAATGATTGCCACCAACAATCCCACTACTCACACTAGCCAGTCATTGACCAATGAAAGAGCATTGGCAGCTGCTGGTCAATGACGTAATCCCGATTGTTAGGTGGTGTCCAATGTCCCGTGTATCAGCGGACGCCGAACTATCATCTACATTCTCTCCTTTTAGTTTTAGCCCTCTTGAGCCAAAAACGTTCTCCGTTGGTTATAAACCTGACAGCCACATAACCCCACAAGCACCTTTGGTACATACACTGTACATCATGTACATGGACAGTGAAACCTGTCAATGCGACCACTCGGATAAGGCGACCACCTGTCAAAGAAGACCACTGCATCCAGGACCCAAGGATGCTATTTCCAGCCAAATCACCCTGGATAAGGAGACCACCTGGTAACAGAGACCGTGTTTTGAAGGTCCTTTGAGCGTCGTCTTAGACAGGTTTCACTGTACGATGCCAACGTAGTGATCGGCTGCCACTAATGACATACGGCAGCGACTGACATGCTACTCAAGGATAAAGTCTCCAGACGCTGTAGTTGCTCTAAAACTACATGTACACGGCGACCGCATGTCTCTGGCTGAGATCTGTGTAGGGTTCACTGACTTGTCAGTTTGAGCACTCTGGAAAAGTACATTGTACGTTCGGGTCTGCTTTAAAATCTTACTTTGAAAAACCCCACATGTGCATTGCTATCAGGTTCTCCATGATTTTCTCTGCGCTGCACTGAGGAGTCCACACGGAAGAAAAAGTTCTGTCAGCATTTTAATATGCTGACAGAACTATGGCATACCGCTATATTATGTAACAAAGAGCCACAGAGAAGAAATCTTCTAGTTTACTTCTCCACAGGTTCCGCCATTGAAGCCTTGTGTGATGCATAAAACGTTATGTGCCCCCTTCCCCTCTAATGTTTGTATTTACGTTTTGTGAACAGAGGCAGGACATGTAGCTGTCCTGGTCGTGAAAGGAATAATGACCCACAGTTTGAACCCACAACCATTTTCTTGGAACGTACAATACTATCCCTACTACGCAACGCAGAGCTGGTGATCCCAAAGCAAGGAAAGGTGTAGAAAAGTTTACTGCGCAAATCCTGTCTCTCTCTCTCTCTCTCTCTCTCTCTCTCTCTTTCCTCTCTCTCTTTCTCTCTCTCTTTCTCTTCTCTCTCTCTCTCTCTCTCTCTTCTCTCTCTCTCTCTCTCTCTCTCTCTCTCTCTCTCTCTCTCTCTCTCTCTCTCTCTCTCTCTCCTCTCTCTCTCTCTCTCTCTCTCTCTCTCTCTCTCTCTCTCTCTCTCTCTCTCTCTCTCTCTCTCTCTCTCTCTCTCTCTCTCTCTCTCTCTCTCTCTCTCTCTCTCTCTCTCTCTCTCTCTCTCTCTCTCTCTCTCTCTCTCTCTCTCTCTCTCTCTCTCTCTCTCTCTCTCTCTCTCTCTCTCTCTCTCTCTCTCTCTTATTCAGCACACTGCAGTGCATGCATTAATACGTAGTTCTGGTAATGATATCAACATGGTGTGACTGCTGAACTGGGTCTGCTTTGCTGAAACAGCCTGCTTCAATTTGTTTCTGCTCTTTCCGTTCATTGATGGGGTTGCGTGCGAAGTAAAGCCATGCGTGTATCGGCACATCGTTTCTCTGTTCAAGTGAAGACTTAGTTTAGGCGAGGCACACAAGGATGTTGCTGACGTAAAGTTACTTCGCTATCGTGGACCAAGGCAGCCGCACAGGGAAAGAAATCTCGTGACGTTCACTAAACAATCCACCTATAGTTCTGATATGACTTGCTTGGTGCCCTCATCAACAGGGTGCAGCAGTGGAAAGCGCTCGATCAGGATTGCTTCCTGACTCTGAGAATACATTCCCGTGTGTCGTGCCTGCCTTCGACCGACTACAAAGTAGAAGACCGCCTGCAGCTAAGAGCTTACACCGTGAATACTAGACGAGATTACAGTTCTATTTGGAGGACACAGGTGTAGGGCTAATTGTACCCGGTGAAGCTAAAAGCGTTGATATTTCCCATTGTCATTGCATGGCACATTTAGTGGTATCTTTGTGCTTTTGCAACTTCCGAGAGTACTTCCCATGTGTTTGAGATTCAGCGGATTTCGAGAGTGCATGGTTTGCTGTGGTTGTTATGAAAACACGTCGCTTTAACAGGAGCCCGATCAACCCGGGTCATGTGGAGAAACAATTGTATGCTCTTGAGTGAGTTGCCTTGAGCAAACTCTAAGTTCTCTCACAGCCAGTTCAACACGAGCTGGTTTTACCAACAGAAATGCTTCTCAACAGTATCATTACATGATTGTATTGTACTTCACGCCCGTAACAGAACATCAAAAGGCCTAGGGTTACTGAATGTACATGTACATACATTGCACTACAGGAAATAAGCAGAGTCCCCCATCGAACGGAGAGTGCGTTAAGAGACCCTTCCAGGAAACTCTCTCCGATAAGTATTATTATTATTATTATTATTATTTGAGGGATTCCCCAAAGGCCGAAGCCTAAATCAAGGGGGTCTCCGAGAATAAATATACGTGTACAATGCGTGTGCAATAGGGTGCAATTCTTAAAAGAAAGAAAATATTACGATAAAAAAAGATTAATGTGAAGAGGTTAAATAAGAAGTCTGAGTAGAAGCAAGCGAAAAGGGTACTGGTAAAGAAGTATCCATTTACCTTTGGAGAATCCTTCAAATAAAGTCGAAATGAAATGAATGAAAGAGATCGTGAGGTGGAGCCCGTGTACACCGTAGGGAGAGAGGTGTCCCAGAGCGTGAAACTCAGAGTCGTACTTCGAAGTAAGTATAATATTCTTCCTTCCATACTGTGTGTTCTACAGGAAATATACCTGTGCGGTACATGTACAGAGTAGCACAGTGTAGCGTGCTTTGAAGTATGTAGTGTGGACATTGTTATGAAATGATCATGCCACTACATGCCACTACTGTAGGCCAGAGTGACCGGCAAGCAGTAGCCGGGGAGTAGTAGCCGGGGAGTAGTAGCCGGGGAGTAGTACAAAAACAAGAAAGCAAAACAGAAATGCTATGGTACTACTCCCTACCGGTAGTGGTAGGTCATGTCGAGGAACGTCACGTGATTGAAAACCATCAGCTTGCAGATGCCATGTAGTCGTATCCAGTGCCTAGTTCATTGTTGCAGGAGTAACGCGTAATTCAGCCATCGGATTACCATTGAATCCAACATTAACACCTCCAGCGGCCTGGTGACATCACGACATGGACACCGCTTCAGGTTCTGGCGAAAAGGTG